TGTGTTATATATATGTACTAACCCCACACAAGGACTGTAAATATTGTGTATTGCAAACATGTACCTCCCAAAAAAGGAAATCATGTGATGGATGAAGGGGGGAATGGGGAAAAGGAAAGGGGGCAAAAATATAATTAAGATACATTATGTACATATACCAGTTCCCCACCGGGAATGTAAACATGCACTACAAACATGTACCAATAAAGAAAATTTTAAATGGTGCTAGGAAACTGGATATGCAGATTACATTCATAAATGAAAACTGGCTTTTGGTAAATATTGTTCTCATATACTCCTACAAGCAGAATATATAAAATAGAAAAAGTTTTATTTCAAAATACTTTCAGTCTATCATCCTTCCAGTACAAAAACTGTTTTTATCTTAATTCTGCTTTTTCTTGACATTTCTATTGCCAATGTGCTTTTATATTCTGTTTTTGATATATGGATCATATTTAATTTATTGTCTGTATGAATGACAATATGTGCATTTCCTTCTGATTGCTTAGAAGATCAACAGTCATTTACCTTTTAGTTTTTGTATTTAGAAATTTACAACATACATTTATTTTATACCTCTATTAATTTATTTAATGTATCCCTTTATAACATACAAGGAAATGAGCACATTTACATTTACATTTAATTTTCTTCTACAGCCCACTGGTACCAATTGTGATCAAGCACATTACTACTGCTAACCTTTTTATTTTTCATAGGATATTTTCCTTTTAATAGCTTAGTTAAATATCAATTATTGTATTTATATTCAGCATTAAAGAAAGTGTTTTTGTACCTCATTATGAAAGATAAGAAAATAAACACTATTTCCTTTCACCTACTCCTTCCCATCTTCAAATGTTAAGTGTCTTATAAGGTTTAAAATATTTATAAATTTATTAGCAACCAAAATTCCCACAGTTATTTAGTCTTAGTTCCATACACATCTAAATCATTAATCTTTTACTGCAACCTTTTTTACTCATCACTTGGATAGTTAGGTTTTAATATCAACATATTTTATTTCTCAAGACTCATTAGTGCTATATTCTTTAAGAACTTTTGTGTTTGAAAATTTCTGATGCTTCTATGCATGGAATGCATGAAGCTCTAAAATCATATTGTCACAGCTTCAGAATCATGTTGAATTACTATAGAAAAATCAAAGAAACTTCATTATTTTATTTAAATCAGTGATATACATTTTCTTAGAAATTAAATAATCCTTTGATTAGCTTCTAATCAATTTATTTCTCCAGACTATGGTTGTTCTATATTAAATTTATGACTTTGGTGGTTGTTTAGTTTTGTGTTTCTTCATACTGTTTCTCTTTTTTTGTACCGGGGAATCAAACTTGGGTCCTTGTGCTTGCTGGGCAGGCAGCAGAACCACTGAGCTAAATCCCCAGCCCTCCATACTGTTTCTTAATTTATTGTTCCCATGCAAAATCAAGGACTTTTAAAAGCCAAAAGGTGATAAAAGGTGTTGAGGATGTAGTTTAGTGCAGAGGCCCTGGATCAATCCCTTGTATATCCCCCCCACCCCTGCCGCCAAAAAAAAGAGGAAAAGAAGCCAGGTATGGTGGTGCATGCCTGTAATCCCAGCACTCAGGAGGCTGAGGGCCAGCCTGGGCTACACAGTGAGTTCAAGACCAGCCTGAACTACATAGCAAGACACTGTCTCAAAAAAGGAAGGAAGGAAGGAAGGAAGGAAGGAAGAAAGGAAGGAAGGAAGGAAGGAAGGAAAGACCCAGAAAGAAATTTCCTCAACATTTGAAAGGTATCTCATTCAGTTGCCAAACTTATATTAGTTAATTTCCATTGGCAAGTCTCAGAGATATTGGACAGATACAAGACCAATTCTGCTCAGCTGCTTGTTGAAGCTCGAGTTCAGCCTAATCCAACAAAACATGTCCCCACAGCCCATCCTCCTCACCACCGTGCAGTGTGTATGCAGTTTGTGAGGAAGGAAAAATTTCTCCCTGGCCTGTCAGCACCAGTTTTGCTGCAGCTGCTGGGAGCAACACTGCTCAGTACTTGTCAAGGACGGCGTGGGTGTGGGAGTCTCTTGTATGGCTCAGGACTGTCCACTCTGTACACCAGAGGACTTTGTGTTTCTGTTGCTTCCCAATGAAGAATTGAGAGACAAATACAGGTGCTACCTCTTTAGGGACTATGTGGAGAGTCATTACCAGCTCCATCTATGCCCTGGTGCAGACTGCCTCATGGTTATTCAGGTACAGGCGCCTAGCAAGGTCTTTTATTTCAAGTGACCTCAGATGTATCATGCCCCCACAGACTGTCCCACAATCCAGAAATGGCTCACAAAGTGTGCAGACAACTCTGAAACGCCCAACTACGTTAGTGCTCACACTAAAGACTATCCCCAGTGCAACATCTGCATCGAGAAGAATGGAGGTACAATCACATGCAATGCTTCAAATGTAAACATGATTTCTGCTGGATGGGTCTAGGAGAGTGGAAGACTCGTGGCAGCAAGTACTATGAGTTCAGTCAGTACAAGCAGGATCCTGACATTGTCAAGCAGATCCAGCAAGCCCAGGCCAGGGAGGTCCTGAAGAAGTACCTATTCTATTTTGAGAAGTGGGAAAACCACAACAAAAGTTTGCAATAGAGTCCCAGACACACCAGCGGATTCATAAGAAGATTCAAGAGAGGGTCATGAACAATCTGGGGACTTGGATCGACTGGCAGTACCTACAGAATCCTGCCAAGCTCTTGGCCAGGTGTTGATATACCCTGCAGTACACCTACCCATATCCATACTACATGGAGTCTGGCCCCAGGAAGAAGCTGTTTGAGTACCAGCAGGCTCAGCTGGAGGCTGAGATCGAAAACCTCTCATGGAAAGTGGAATGTGTGGACAGCTATGACAGAGGGGACTTGGAGAACCAGGTGCACATAACAGAGCAGTGAAGGAGAACCCTGCTAAAGGATTTCCATGACACTTAAGTAGGGACATGAATGTGCTGGGATGAAGATGTGGCTTCGAGGTCTCCTGGCTGCCATACTGCATGCTGCAGGCTCTGCCTTTTATGACCCAGGTTGCAGCCAGGGCCCCACTCCTGAGAGACACTGGCAACACACCGCTTAGCTGATTTGTTTTCTTTTCATCTTTCGCTTTTTGTTTCAATCAGGGTAGAGGCCATGTTGAATTGATCTCTTTTCAGGACTTTAATTCCCCCTAGGTGTTTGTTGGGAGGGAGGGAATTTTTTTTCTGAATGGCTATTAATAGAATTAGATCATTACAACCTATGTAATTTTCAAAGGTTGTATAATTATTTTTTTTTAAAGGCAAACCATATGATAACACAAAGCCCTTTTTGTTTTTGTTTTTTTTGGTACCAGGGATCAAACTCGGGACCTTGTGGTTGCGAGGTAGGTGGCAGAACCACTGAGCTAAATCCCCGGCCCCACAACACCCTTTTTAAAAATAAATTGGCACTGGAGTGTTTTCAAAAAAAAAAAGCCAAAAGTTGAGTATTTAAAAAACACTATTATTATAGCTCACAAAACTCTGGCAAAACAGAACAAGAAAAAGAAAAAAAAAGCCAGGTCTGGTGCTTCAGATTTGTAATCTCAGCACTCTGGGAGACAGGCAGGAGAATCACATAGCTAATTTGAGGTCACCTAGATAACAATGAGACTTCATCTCAAAAAGGAGAGAGGGGCCAGGGATTTAGCTTAGTGGTGCCACAGCCTGCCTCACAAGCGAAAGCTCCCAAGTTTGATCCCGGGTACCAGTAAAAAAAAAAGGAGAGAGATATACATAGTTCATTACACTAACATTTTAAAGGATAAAACTATGTCATTTTCTGCATACACACAGAAATTACTTGATAAAATTCAAAATCATCAGAAGAAATAGAATCCTTGATACATATGAATTCCCAAAGCTGAACCAAGAAGATATAAAAATTCCAAGTAACTCAATATCAGTCAATGAAATTGAAAATATAATTTTTAAAACTACCAACAAAAGAAGCCCTGGTCTTGATGGATTCACTGCTGAAATCCACAAGACATTTAGAGAAGATCTAATGCCACTACTCCTCAGACTCTTAATGAAATTGAAAAGGAAGCAACATTCTCAAAAAAAGGAGTAAAGGCCAATCTCCCTAATGAACATAGACACAAAAATCCTCAGTGAGATACTGGCAAGAAGAATGCAGCAAATCAGCAAGAAGATTATACACCATGATCAAGTAGGATTCATCCCAGGGGTGCAGTGACAGTTCAACATATGCAAATCAATAAATGTAATACACCATATTAACAGAGCCAAGGACAAAAACCACAGGATCATCTCTATAGACACAGAAAAAGCATTTGACAAAATCTAACACCCATTCATGATAAAAACCCTACAGACAATTAGAATACAAGGTCTTGGGCTGGGGATTTAGCTCAGTGGTTCTGCTGCCTGCCTTGCAAGCGCAAGGACCCGAGTTCGATCCCCAGTACCAAAAAAAAAAAAAAAGAATAGGTCTTTCTCTCAATCTGATAAAACCATCTATGATAAACCAATAGCCAACATCATACTAAATGGTCAAAAACTGAAAGCTTTCACTCTAAAATCAGGAACAAGACAAGGATATCCACTCTCACCAGTCCTGTTCAATACAGTTCTGGAAAAATAGCCAGAGCAATTAGACAAGAGAAAGAAATAAAAGGAATAAAGATAGTAAAGGAAGAAGTTAAATTATCATTATTTGCTGATGACATGATACTCTACATAGAAAACTCCAAAAATTCCACCAAAAGACTCCTCGAATTAATAACCAAATTCAACAGCATAGCAGGATATAAAGCCAACACTCAAAAATCAATAGCATTCCTGTACACGGATAACAAACTCACTGAGGGAGAAATTAGGGAAGCCACACCTTTCACAGTAGCATCAAGAAAAATGAAATACTTATGAAGCAATCTAATGACAGGCAGTGAAAGACCTTTACATTAAAAACTACAGTACTTTAGGAAACAGCAGTAGCCATTTTTCTGGACTCACGGGGACCATCAGTAAGAAGGATTTTGCCAAACTGAGACCTGGAGAAAAAAGCAGGAAAAATCTTCAGTTATTGAAGGACATGCAAACCATACAAAATTTATTACAAAGCAGTAATGTATGTTGGAATTACTGACTGCTCACACCACGTCATAAATTTTATTCAGATAATCTGTATCTCATTGATCAGATCTTGACAATTTACTTTCCAGGTTTCATACTTGCTAATGTTGGAATTAATTAATAGAAGGTGTTCAGGGCTTAGGCTTCGTTACATAGGTTTCTTGTGTTATGCCACACAACCGAATATTAAACCATTGGCTGGGGATTTAGCTCAGTGGTTCTGGTGCCTGCCTCGTTAAGTGCAAGGTCCCAAGTTCAATCCCTGGTACCAAAAAAAAAAAAGAAAAACCATGTATGTAAATGGAAACCAAGGAAGTTTTAAAACTTGAGAAGCCACATTCTTTAAGATGAATACACTGTACTGGTATATTGAACTTTGTAAACAAGTTGCCAGTTTTTTACTTGTGGTGTGATTTTTTTAAAAATTCTTTATATAT